GCCAGGGAGGATGGGGGTGGTTGGGGGGAGGCCAGGGAGGATGGGGGTGGCTGGGGGGGGTCGGGGGGGGGCGGGGGGGGAGGGGGGTGATTGGGGGGAGGCCAGGGAGGATGGGGTGGTTGGGGGAGGCCAGGGTGCCTCTCAGTCATCTAGCCCTCTAGTCATCGCTCCCTCATCCCCTGAACTTTCTCTGAGCTCCCACTCTGTACCACGAGGCCCTGTCCACACTGAGTTGATACTGCTAGTCCCAGGAAGAAGTAGCCTAGTGTTAGCCTGTCCAGCTGTGCCAGATGAGGCCACAGTGCTTCCATGCTGGCTGACCAAGGTCTGTTGTCCCACAGCCCCAACCCCAGTGCTGCAGTTTCATCCCCAAAGCCCCAGCAGATGTGGTCCTCCCCTCTCCCTCCCACACAGGCCAGCCAGTGAAGAGTCAAGAGCTGACACAGTGGCAGCCTCTAGGACCCCACCCTAAGGCAGATTCTAACTGCTTGGGACTGATGTTGAGATAATTTGCAGTGTCATCCCTGTGTCTAATGTGGATGACCTTGATTTGAAGTGTCTGGTGTCTTGTCACCACCTTGCATACGGTTCTGACCAGTCAGGCAGGCTGGGACTGAAGCTGTCTCCCCAGGGAACCTAGCACTGTGGGAGCTCACAGTAGAATGGGCTTAGGTGCTGCCACCCAACTCAACTTCACTCCTTCCCTTTCTCTCTCCTGCAGGCAGCCATGAACTCCAGCCGCCCGGAGCCGGGTTCCCAGGCACCCCTGAGCCCCCGCCTTCAGCCCTTATCCCAGAGCTCTTCCAGCCTGCTGGGTGAAGGCCGGGGACAGAGGCCAGAGCTTCGCAAGAGGGCCAGGAGCACTGTGTGGCAGGCCCAGCTGGGCGAGGCCAGCGCCAGATCCCGGGCCCCGGAGGAAGAGGGGGACCTGCCTGAGAGTATGGAGCGGGCACGGGCCTCTGGCCCTGAGGCACAACCCAGTGCTGGAGGCCACTGGCGGAGCAGCACTGTGGGCAATGTGTCCACCATGGGCAGTGGTGACCTGTGTCGCCTGCGGGCCCCCAGTGCAGCCGCTATGCAGAGGAGCCACTCGGACCTGGTCCGTAGCACCCAGATGCGGGGACACAGTGGTGCCCGGAAGGCCAGTCTCAGCTGCTCAGCCCTCGGCAGCTCCCCCATCCATAGGGCTCAGCTGCAGCCAGGTGGTACTTCTGGCCAGGGTGGCCAGGCCCCTGCAGGCCTGGCAAGAGACCTGGCTCCTGAGGATGGGACATCGAACTCAGCCTGGATGCTGGGGGCAAGTCAGTTGTCAGTGCCACCACTAGACCCTGGGGACACAACTGCCCACAGCAGCAGTACCCAGGCTGACCCCAAAGCCCCCAAACAGCCAGCTACCACCACCTGCCATGCTCTGCCCCCAGCTGCTCTACTCTGTGACATGAGGGAGGCAGGGGCTGGTGGCTGCTGCCATGCCCTGCCTGCCACCGGGATCCTGGCCTTTCCCAAACTAGTGGCGTCAGTGAGCGAGTCTGGGCTACAGGCTCGGCACGGGGTGAAAATCCACTGTAGGTTGTCTGGGGGGCTCCCTGGGCACTCCCATTGCTGTGCCCACCCTTGGGGTCCCACCAGCTTAGTCCCAGAGCCTGGCTCTAGGACCAAAGATGTGTGGACCATGACCTCAGCCAGTGACTTGGCCCCTGCAGAGGCATCCCCACTGTCAGCCCAGGATGCGGGTGTGCAGGTGGCCCCAGTGGCAGCCTGCAAGGCTGTGGCCACCAGTCCATCCCTGGAAGCGCCTGTGGCCCTGCACGTGTTCCCAGAGGTAACTCTGGGGTCCAGCCTGGAGGAGGCATCGTCCCCTGTGCGGGATGTGCGATGGGATGCTGAGGGCATGACATGGGAGGTGTACGGAGCTGCGGTGGACCCGGAGGTGCTCGGCGTGGCCATCCAGAAGCACCTCGAGATGCAGTTTGAGCAGCTGCAGCGGGCGCCCACCAGCGAAGACAGCCTGTCGGTGGAGGGCCGGAGGGGCCCACTGCGGGCTGTCATGCAGTCCCTGCGGCGCCCCAGCTGCTGTGGCTGCTCCAGTGCGGCCCCCGAGTGAAGAGCTGCAGCCCCCGGAGCAGGCCTGGGCCCATGGACTTGGTCCTAAACCTGGGCCAGGGATGGTGGGGCCTCCATGCCCCCTGGACCCACTGGCAGCCGGGCACGTCTGTCACCTGAACGTCAGCTGTCTCCAGACCACAGGACTGCAGCCTGGGCTTCCTGCCCCATGCAGCTGGGCTGTTTTATTAAGGGCTTGATTTTCAAGGGCCACATCTCTGTACCTTCTGGGCTCTGAACTTTGAGACAGGGATTCAGCACCATGCATAGGGGAGATCCTGAGTTTTCTGTAAAAGACCTTTTGTTCACTCCACCCTCAGAACTCTGCTGTGTTTCCTCCTCAGACTCTTGGTGGCTTTATTTTAAGGCAGTGCTGAGAAGTAGTGAATTCTCGCCATGAAGTGTGAGGCACCGGTGAGAGGGACGGCCGGGGTTTCTAGGGAAGGCGACTGATGTTACCAGAGGCCCCCTGTGTGCTGCATACTGTACTTGTCGAGTGTTCACCTCTTCACCCTGGTTTACAGATGAAACCACAGGCATTTGGCAAGGCTGTAGCCAATGTTCCCCGCCCTGGACAGCTGGAAGAGGTGGGACTAAGGTTCAAAGCCAGGGCTGGCTGAGCCTGGGGGATTTCCCTGTAACATGCGCCCAGTCCAGTTCAGTGCAGTTATGTACACGAAGAATTTACTGAGCGCATCCTCTGTGCCGGGTTCTGTGTTTCTGTGGTGAATGAGCCAGAGACTGCCCCTGCCCTGAATGAGCTCATGGTGTGGGCTGGGGATGGCAGGGGAGGATGCTGACCATTGCGGAGGGCTACCAGGCGTCCAGGGTCATTGTGCCAGAGGCTGGCCTGAGGAAGGGGAGAATGGGCGGCCACTTGCCCTCAAATAAGTTGCAAAGCCTAAAATTGCACTATTTCACTGCATTCCATTGGCTTAAGGACTTCTTCCTAGCTGGTGCAGTTCATGGAAGGAGGGAGGGCAGGAATGGAGGGGGACAGGGAAGGAGCTTTACCCTGGGCCCTGGGGTAGGGGCTGTGAGGCTGTGGGGGCTCACTTGCCCACATGACCTGACCTAGGCTAAGCAGTAGGGGCCAGGGGACTAGGGGAGACAGAAACATAGGGGTTTGGCACAGTCTGACTTCATTGCCCAAAGATTTCTCAAGGCCTGTGAAGAATGGGAGTGGGTTTGTGTTCTTGTCCTGGGTCTTGGTGTTTTGGACTCCAAGCTCCTGGGACATAGTCCCCCAATCCACCCTTGTGAGGGGCCAAAGGGCTACTGTGGGGTCGTGGCCCATGACCTGGCCTGTTCCTGGGGCCTCTTCTGCACCTGGGAGCCCAGGACCCTCAAACTGGCTCACCTTTTCCCATCTTCAAGGACCTGGTACTCATCGAGGTGGAAATGATTCATGCAACAGTGGGTCAATTTGTAAAGCAGGAGTGGCATTTCAACAGGCCACAAGGATAAAGTGAGAAAGACGTGTTTCAGGTCAGATGCCTCCTGAAGCCCCATAGTGGACCATTCTCACTCGTAAATGTGCTTTTCCCGTATGCACAGGTGCACCCCTTCTTGGGATTCTGGGCCTGTCGGTCCCTTTGTGTATGGTGCCAGGGCAGGCAGCTCACGTTCTGGGAGTGACACATGGGTATATGCCATCTTCATGCCTGGCCCCGCATGGGGTCCTCAGGAATCATAACCTGTTGGGGCCACATGGGACAGAACAAATGACTCTGGGTACATGGGGAGGGACCCTTCACACAGGGCCACAGCTAAGTAGGGTCTTGAGGATACAGGGGTTAGTTGGCTGGGTGGAGGGAGGGCAGGACCTGCCAGCAAGATGGAGCAGCCTGGCCCGTATTTGGCTGTACTTGTCCTGCCTGGGCCATGATGAGTTTCTGCAGTGGCAGCTCATTTGGGGTGTTTGTTGGGTTGGGAGGTGGCCGGGGTCCCCACTGTGAAGATCCTGGTGTAACTGAGAAAAGGAACTTCAGGGAACTGCGGAAGGGATGTAGGGCGGGGGGACTAGATTTCAGTTTAGAAATATCCATTTGGCTGCCAGTGGAGAAGAGCAGGGTGCAGAAGAGGTGGGAGGCAGGAGCCCAGGAGGCTGTGCCAGGGGATTCCAAGGAGGGGCCTGTTCAGGGGCAATGGAGTGGGCAGCTGGGGGCTGGGTTCATACACGTGCACACCCGCGCATACACAGGTACACATGTGTGCAGTGGATTTGGGAAGGAGGAGGCATTTCAGGAGACTGAGGTTTTCAGTTTGAGCAAGAGGAGGGTAAGACCACTACCTGGGACGAGGTGAGTGGCAGGTTCAGCAGGGGCAGAAGGGGTTACATGCCACAGGGTTTGGCTGGGACCAGTGAAACCCACTTCATGAAGAGACTTTCTCCTCTGTCACATGCAGATTCTCATGCACTCATGCTGACTGGGTGCCACTCTGTGCTACCTCCATGCTGCCCTGGCTCACCAGGATAGCAGGCCGGGCTGGGCCCAGGCAAGCTCCCAACCACCTCATCATCACTGAGATGAATGTTTGCAGTGTGGTGCTGGAATCCAACACTTGTGTCTCGGCGGGGGTCCCAGACCGCTCTCCTGGCTAAACCACAACCCTGGTTTCCCTAGCCCGGCTACACTGTAGCTGCTGCTGACAAGTCTACTTAGGGTGACAGCAGCCTCATTTCTAACTGGAACTAGAGACCCCTCTCAACTCCCCTTGCTGTGCCTTCTCCTGGAATAGGCCTGATGCCTGCAGCGGTTTAGGGTCCCAGAGCATGGCCAGTAGTTTAGTTTACAGATCTCCTCCCCTTGGACTCCAGATTTCTGGCCAGACTTTCTGGGTCCCTCTCAGGCCCCACTCTGGGAGGTGTTGGAGTTCTCTGATGATGTGTTTGTTTGGTTTTGAATTCAAAATAGATACAAATTCAGATATCAGAGCTTTGCCAGGCCCCAGCAGGGATGAGGCATCAGTCCTGGCTGGTCTTGTTTATTTGGTCCTGGTAAATTCTGTTCTTTGGAGCGTAAACCCCAGAGTCCTAGAGCCCCTTGCCTCAGCATGAATTCCCCCTCTGTCTTCTCCAGGGGCTCCCCACTTCTCCTCACCTGCTATCCTTCTCTGGCAAGCAGGGCCCCCGACAGCTGGAGCCTGGCTTCCTGGAGCTTGTCTCTTCTGGGCCTGCCTGTCTTGTGACCATGACACAAGTCGTGCATTCCTTGTCTGGCCGCAGGCGCCATCACTCTCACAAGAAACTGGTAGGGCTGGCCTGAGGTCACAGTACTGGTGGTGGTGAAAAACAGGGATTGCCTGTTTCACTGTGATGTTACCTCCTGTGTCACCTGGTTGAGGTCTCTGTTCCTCTAGACATGCCAGATCCTACCTAAGTTTACAAGGGCTGAAGGGGTCTTCTACACGCAGGTCCTAATACATTGGGCTGGGGTTGGCCACTGTAGCTTAGTGGGCTAAAGCTGGAGTTTGAATCTGGATCCACACCTATAGCCATGTGATCTTGAACAAGTTACAAGCCTTGATGATCTTCCTCGTCTGTAAGATGGGGATGACAATGGTGCCTCCACAGGCTTGGTGTGGAGATTAAATAGAGTAACCTATGTAATGCCTGGCACTGAGTTAGTGCTCAGCACACACTCTGGTGGTGTTGGGCACCCCTCTCATAGCCACATTCAGGGGCCAGCTCCTACCCTGCCAGCTCGGCTGCCATCACAGCCCACATCCAACTTCTTTAAAAGTCCCTCATTCAGAGCCTCTGAATTTCCGGGTTCATCGCCCACAGCTTTGCACCCTGCCCGGGACTGTGTCCTCTGGCTGTGGCCTGTGAAAATGGAGTTCCCAGAGTGCATGGAGGAGGAGGGCTACCCCATCCCTCACCACTCGTCTTGGGTTGAGTTCTCCAGAAGCTCCTGCTGAGATGAGGATGCTGGAGTTATTAGGGAGGGGAGAGCAAATTAGGAGAGGGACAGAAGGCAAGGCAGGGTGTGATCTCGGTCAAGCCAGACTGTAAAGGGGAGCCCTGGGTGCAATCTCACCTCAGAGTAAGGACCACCCAGGGGTGGATGGAGCCTCTAGGCACTTCTGCTCTCTGGCACGCAGGCTAGGAAGCTCTAAGGGTGCCAGGATAGGTCTCTGCATGGAGTTGTAGGACCTATTTTGGGGGAAGTTGTGCACAGAAACCGCCAGGGGGAGTCACAGCCATCTGGGGTGTACCCATCAATATTTGCATCCGTGTCATGCCGAGCTTGTGGCCCACAAATGCCCGGATCTTTTCTCCATGCATTTCTCTGTCTCAGTTTTGTTCATGCCAAGCAGCCTTTGTTAGTTAAATGCAGAGCTTGGCATTTGCCCTGTTCAATTCCTTCTCCTTTTTCATTCTGGCCGGCTCAGTTTTGCCATCTGAAGCTATGACTAGTCCTTTATCAGTTTTCATCCAACTTGTCATGCAGGGCAGGGCTGGTCTGGAGCCCAGGACATATTGCTGGGACATGCCGTAGGTCTGAGTTTCCCAGGTCCCTCCAAATCCACGCCGTCATCATGGGCAAATTAGTTTAAGTCTGATCTGTTATGATCTAGATCTCACACCAGCAGCATCCATCCCTCCTTCCCAAGGCCACGGAAGGAGGGTAACATAGCCTGACCCATGTCCTTGTTCTCAGCAAAACTGGTTCTGTAGTGGCCACTTCCCTTTCTCAACTCTTACTTACTTCTGTTTAATAGGCTGGTCTGCAAGTCTGAGAGCAACAGCAAGTTTGGAAGTGTGGACTCAGCCAGGCACAGTGCCTCACGCCTGTAATCCCAGCACTTTGGGAGGCCAAGGTGGGCTGATTGCTTGAACTCAGGAGTTCAAGACCAGCCTAGGCAACATGGCAAAACCTTGTCTCTACAAAAAAATACAAAAACTAGCCAGGCATGGTGGTGGGCCTCTGTAGCCTCAGCTACTTGGTGGGTTGAGGTGGGAGGATTGCTTGAGCCTAGGAGGCGGAGGTTGCAGTGAGCCAAGATAGTGCCACTGTGCTCCAGCCTGGGTGACAGAGCCAAACGCTGTCTTAAATAAAGAAAAAGACAAGAAAGAAGTGTGGACTCTACCTTCTTGCCCTTGTGGAGATTGGGAACTGCCTGCCCTTGGCCTTCCCCGTCCATCTTCTATTACGAAAGGCTGTTTCTGGCACACCTGGGCTTCTCTGCGTGTTTTCTGGGAGGTGCCTGAGAGTCAAGAGAATGGAGCCCTTTTGCAACCAGCCACTGGTACCCTCCCCACTGAGCCCTTCTTTAGGTTTTCTCACTCTTTTGATGGGTGTCTTT